GACTGACCTTTACTGGACAGAAGACATAACACCCTTCGAATGAGAGCCAGAATATCAGTTGTTAAGACCATCAGTAAATTAAGTTAATTTATTACTTTTAATCAAGTGCTAACCCTTAAGCATTTCGACTGAAACATAAATAGACTTATGAGAGCTTTCATAGAACTGATTTATACACGTACACATATATTAACACAAAAATGATTTTATATTTAAATTAATTTTTAAAGTAGAATTAAACGAATGTCAAAGTTAACTAATGGCGTTTTCGATTGATAAATTTGGATTCAATCTACATATAGATCTGTCAACTTTTGTTGCCCAATTAAACATTTTAAAAGTAATCTAACGTTTTTCTAATAGTGTTAGTAGACATTTATATATTTAATAAACACATATATCGGATTAAAACATGCTTTATTTGTCAGGTCATATGAATTAGCTGTTAATGTCAGAATAAACTTGCTACTCTAGTAAAATATCTAGAGTGTTATAAATTTAACTCGAGTCTTAGACATTTCACTCGAGACTTACCAAACGAAAAAGAAAATTGCAATAGATGTGTTACCCAAATCGAAGGCGGCATAAATAATCGGTGATTAAACATTAATGTGTATAATATAAATTTGCATATACTATTTATTGATTTTACCAAATATCGAACTAGTTGCTTTATCGGATCAACAAAAAAACATTTAAGACTGATACTGGCAACTCTAATCAATACATCTATTCAAAGTTGTCGTCATATGAGATTGGACGGATACGTTTAATTTTTAAAGCGGTGTAAGGAATAGAGACAAGTGTGAACACTTTAAATTGGAATATGTAAATAGCAATGTAATCTAGCTCTTAAAAGACCAATATATCTTTCAACTCTTTAAAAAATTCTTAAATGGTAAGTTATATACAGAAATAAATTTATAAATTTATTGTATTAAAATATTTACTTCATAATTATAACTAGATAATGTATATTATGATATAATTATATTTGGAAGACTGCTTTAGCTTATCGCTTATATTAATTTTTATTGTTAGAGCAAAAATAATTTATTCAACTAATTTTATTTTATTATTATGAAATTATCTTTATATCTTTATAAATGACTATTTATAAAAATTTATATCTATAAAGATTATTATTTAAAAAATTAGTAATGATGTGAAATAATAAAGTTTGCATGAATTAAGTTTGTTTGCAGTTTACCGCCACTGTTTTTAGTTTAAAAGTTTTGCGTCTAAAATTATACATTAAAAACTGTAAATTGTATCTGCGAAGAGTATATCTTTATGCTGAGTAAATTTAAAATACAATATATCGAAAAATTACTGTAATTCCATTTACTGAACTGATTAGCATTTTGAAACAAAACCAGTCAACTTTGGCTTTGCCTATGCATTGTTGGCTTTGTTATAAATAAATTACTTACTATTAAATTACTATATTTTTAACTAAATATTTAGATATATTTTATTTTTAAATAAAATACTATATATTTATTTTAGAAATGTAAACAATTTCTTTAAGAGTTTTGTAGATTCACAATATGATATAGTCAAACGATTATTTTCATTTTTCGTTTTGATCTGCTAGAATTTATATATCATTTATTTTGATAGGAACTGAGCAACAAGTTTAAGTATTTATAGACAGATAGATGACATCTTTAGGGCTATTTTAATTTGTTGATGATAGATATATAAAATGTATATTGAACATACTTGAGAATATTGTCAGACTCAATTAGTTCATTTTTATTCGCATTAGTCTAGAGCAGCGTTTCTTAACCTATCTTTCGTAGGTACAAACTGTCTGTCATTGTTCCACATAAAAGTATCTATTATTCAATAATAAAAAAGAATATATTTTATCTATCCACTGTATATTTCTCTATATAACTATCTATCTGTTGGTTTAACTGATTATTAAACAATTAAGAACACAGTCTTATACACAAACTCAACTACGGATGTATTTTTAGTACCATTTCACTATTTAACATATAGCGATTGGCTCAAAAGAAATACATATCGAAATAGTTTCTGATACCAATTTCAAAAAAAAATAAAAAAAAAGTCGGCATTACTTTTTTCTTAAAGTAAATATTCTATAAACTTGGCAAAATTATTCTCATCGTTCATGCTAATTTGAATTTATGTATTTGAATACAATAAAGTTTGGATAAATAATATACGGACATCTGTACTTAAGTTAATACATTTCTAATAATGAAAAATATTATACGACACCTCTCATTTGCAGGCAGAAAATCATCCTAACAACTTCGAATGACTTTTGCTGTAGCTGTAAGGAAAATGAGATGGCTTATGGAAACCATGCGAGTGGATGGCATGATTCTTGCCGTCCGTTTAAAGGAGATAAATGAGATTGTTTAAGTTGTACTTAGCTATTGCCTAAACTAAGTTGGCTAGAAATTCATATTCTGAACGATCTTAAAGTACTGTAGGATCTCTTCTCAAAGACCATCTTCAACTTAAAACGACAAAACACTAAAATGTTATCCTAATTATATGCATAACATTTCAATATGAAAACTATTCAATATGAAAACTATTTCTTAAAATGTAAAATAGTTACTTTAAAGGTATATCTAAAGGTTCACCACGGGTCACGTTACCATCTCAACAAAGTAGGCCTGTCCAAAGAGATAGATTGTAGACCCTGCTTAGAAGCAGAGGGGACAACCACATTCTATGTGACTGCTCAGCCTTGATCTGGGCCAGGAGGAGGTCACTGGGTTGGGAATTGCTCTTCCATTCCGACATTAGGAGGTCCTCAATGGCCGACATTTTAGCCTTCATCCGGAAGGTGGAATGTCTTCTGTTCAGTTAGGGTCTGTTGTAGCACAAAAGATCAATCATGGAGCTGGAACCCCGTTCTTTCTTATCTTACTTTAAAGGTGTTATAATCATCTTAAGGAGTTTTCTTCATCAGTATCATTCCCTCATTGCTGCTCATCAATAGTTGGCAACTTTTAATCGTCTGTCACATTGTACATCTATGCAATTACTTTATTCCTGATTTATGAAGCGATTATCTTCAAGTAGGATTGTATGAAAATTTTATTAAAAACTCATATGATTTAATATCATAAGCCTTATTTATCACGTTTTTTTAGCGAATGGCTTCAGTGCCACCTGTTATTATTTATTATAAAATATATATTCGTATGTACTTAAAACTATTAACAAGTGAATGTGAAGCTTAAATATTATTAATTTCAAAACTATTATTAAAAGCTTGTAATTTGTTACAATTACTTTTTATATAATTACATAAAGTAATAAATAATGTAATACTTCGAATTAAAGACGGTAATTGCATATTTGAAAATTATTTACAAAATTGCTATAATTTATACCAGCTAATTGCAGCTTTAAGTAAATATTACACAAATGGAAAAAAATTGCCACTTTTCTGCAAAAACGAAAGAAGTAAATTAAAATTTGAAGAAGAAATAGACTTGAACAGTTATGAAGACAAGAGTTGTAATAATGAAATGAAATTAAAATAAATCAAACATTTAAAACGTGCAAATTTTCATAATCCCAAACTCCTTCTCAACCTGCTATCAACAAGAAAATTGTAAATTATATAGTAGAAGATATAATCTTCCTGCATTGGAAACTTAAAAATATGTGAAGATATACACAAAAGTCGCTGTGGTGCATTACGACAAAAGCACAAAAAAAAAACAATTCATTTCGACTGTTACAAAACTTACTAGATAATTTCATTAGAGCTCAGAAAATGTAATTACTGGAAATGTTGTTTAGAAAACTCAATGAATTGAAAATCTTCAAAATTTTGTTTTGGTTGTGCATTGACAAGTGGTTAGACAAATGCCAATTTTTTCTTGCAAATAAATTTGCTCTAGGCATAAACAATTTTACTTACTAAACATGTACCACGAAAGACTCGAAAGATAAATAAAGCCAAAACCAAACAAGATCTTGGCACGCATTTTCAATTTGCCGTTTTTTTTCGTTTTTTAATATATCACTAATTGAATGGTTTTTCAGTTTATTTACTGGAAGTGCAAGTTCAATGATTGCTGCACCACTAAGTCCAGCAAAGTAGCATGCACCAAACGAAAACAGCTGCTTCCACGCAAATATTGTCTAAAGCAAATTTTCATTTTGGTCATTTGCCGCAATTCCATTTCGTAATGAATACAAATTTTGTTTTTTTATTTATTTAATCTCTTACAAAATACATTTTCGCATTTTCCTGCTGCAAGCGAGTTTTTCCAGTAAAACTTTTAAGAAATTATTGGCGCCAAATTGCATGCATGCTTCAAACAAGTTCGTTGTTTAAGTCTTTTAATTGAAAGCACAAATTTTACATCACAAGTGCATGTAACAAAAAAAATGCAATTTTTATATAATTAAATTAATATAACAAAATCTCTGAAATTATGTTTTAGCAATATATATGTTTAATATTAACAATTTATATATTTAATACATTTTTAAATTTTTAAATTTTTCATACTTCATAAAAACATTAAATTTTAATGCTAAGAATTGAATTAAAAAAATTAATTTCATTTTTATTTTTTATTTTTAAACAAAGAGTGTAGATTAGTTCAGTTAAGTTTTTAAAACAAATTCGTTAGTTCTCATATATAAAACTAGCATAAAGAACAAGAGCAGTCTATTTTTTGATTGTTACATTAAAAAGAAACAGTTGTTAATAGAAATTAAATATAAAATTAATATGAAATTTAAGTTTAATACATTACAAATACATTACATTTACATTACATTATATTGTGCCTAACTGCAAATGCATCGTAAGTTTAAGCGAAGATAATTAATCATTAAAGTAACAGTCCAGAGCAGATTAGAATAGTTTAGTTACAAGTTAAAGTTAAAGATAGTGACTATTTTAAGAATAAAAACCGAGCAAAAGATTTAAACGCTATCACAGAAAATACATTAATTATATCGTAATTATGAAGTTGACAATGAAGTAATGAAAATTTAAAACAATGTTGACTTGTTAGTTTCACATTAGACGAAATGTTTGTGGCTGATTTGTATAGTAAATGAATCGATAAGCTTTGATGTGTTTTCTAGTCGTTTCTGATGAAATACTTTAATTTAGTTAATTTTGTTTTTAACCATTATTGAGAGCATTAATGTTAACAATTGGCATATGTTTGCTGCAAGTTTATCGCTAATTATGGTTTAGGCTTAGAAATGATGTTCGTGTTCTTCGTGTTCATGGACTGGTGCAGTCTTGTGTACAACAGCATTGAATCCATTATGTTTATCGGCAGTGTAGTCTACGGTACGTATGGAACCGTCTGGTTCGACAAGGGAGTATTGTCCTAAAAATGACATAAATAAACGGCATAAATAAATTATTTAATCCTATTGATATTTATAAACTATTTACCTTTAACTGAATCGCCATCACGAGTTTCATGTTGTGACTTAACATCACCAGTGTGATA